CTAAGCATGTCTATTATTTTTTGGGTCAGGATCACTGTTACGATATGAAGGTGGGAGGAACTTGTGGGCCTAAAGATGCAAGTACACGTGTATCTTGTAGAATCTCAATTACGGGACCTTACGGACTGAAAATAATTTTGATACCTTATTGACAGTGGTGATACCTCTATGGAAGCTTCAGCGGGTGCCCAGGAAGCCTTTTAGTAGAAAACCTTGGTCAGGCTCTACTCTTGAATGGAGTGGTTAACTGCTACGAATAAAAAGCAGAGCCTTTTGCGGAACAGAAGAGAGTTCTTGTTTGCGCACCCCCTGGGCAGAGAACAACAGGAATGCAGGTTCATAATGCTGACGAGCAAGTAGCCGGCAAACGCACTTTCATAGCGTCAGGTTATCATTTAAACAACGTTGCAACTGTGTAGTATGTAATGTAGTCGTACGTCTAATCCTGAGCAGGCTAGAGAAAGGAATGGATACTAACTAGCTTGCGTCCGCCCACGAAACAACTCGCTTGAAGTTTTGCAAAAAGAGTGAGGAGTTCACAATGCCTTCTGCGTTTTCCAAGGTACGAGAATGAGAAAAAAACTTAAGGACAAGGTTGTCTAGCATTAGAACAGAGACACCCTGTACAGGAATATGCCAACAAACAAACGATTCTCTGAAACCGTAGGAACTGATAGGCCGGTAGCCGCTTTCACCATTACGCACAACCCTCAAAAGTTCACCAACACTGAGACACCCCATATTGTGGGAAGCACCACCAAGTGTCCCTACACTAATGTAGGGGACTTAGAGGCAGCAAGTAGGTGTAGCGGCCAGAATCCAATAATCTTGGCCTGAAAGCGGGAAATAACTAGGCGGTGCCAACTGACGTGAACCTGACTAGTTCATGCGTTCTACTGTATAGCTTCCTAACTTCCGCGAGTGACGCGCAGTCAAAGGTCGGATCAAAATACCAAAACACGGTTTGTAGTAATCCAGTACTAGATTCGTAGCAAAATCTGTGGCACTATCAAAGCAACAATAAGTTATGTCAAAATTACAAGAATACCTCAATAGTGCCGTTGGGTAACTATACAGTCCAAAACGTTCTCGGGTGCAAATACGTACTACACGGTTAAACTGGTTAAAAAATACAACTGTTAAATACCTGTCGGTCAATAGGAATATTCCCTACAAAAGGGATCAAAACTCTGCCTACAGGAATCAAACCAACAAACAAACGTTCCCAGTAGACATTCAAAAGACAAACAGTCAAATCACAGCACAACCGTAAGTTGAACCAAAACAAAATGTCGGGCGCAGTAAAACAACATCATCTTGTCAACAGTCCAGCGTCACATAGTAGGAAAGTGAAACACTCATAATAAGTCTCAAACATACAAAGGCAAATACTGAGTGCAAAATCAAATAAGACAGTCAAACAAGCAGATAACATTACACCGACTAGGGTCAAAGGCACACCATCCATAACCAGGGTAAAAATGTTAAAATAAATGTCAATACAATCAAATAAGGGTGATCGGGAGGGATTTTCAGATCATTTTTCCGTTACAGTAGGGGCTAAGACCCCTCTGTTCCTACCTTGTTTCGGAAAGTATAATCCTGACACGGCCACGTTACCGCCGGATACCAGCGACATCTAAGGGAGTACAGGCGGTATATATGTTCATAAGAAACCGGGAAGACGGAGAAAGCGACTGAATGGTAATGTTTATGAATGACTACCTCAAGAGTTAACGAGCCACCGAAACTGTACTGTCAGAGCTCCTAGACTCCATCTGGTGTCACTTCATGGTCGGGCACACTGGGCACCTTGCGGTGAGGGCGTATCAAACCCTCACCAGAGAAACGGGGTTGAACCAGCAACAGCTGCAAGTAATAGCCGCAGTGAAGACTATGGGCATGATCAGGTCATCATAGCGGGGAAGTCTGCTTCTCCAACTCTGAACCGAAGACAGGACAGGGCAGCCACAGGCCAGAAGTTCGACTGCAACCCACTTGACCACAATGAGAAGATGACAACCGTGGGGGGTTGTGCAGAAAGGCATCTCAACTGGACCATCAGCCTACTTGCAGCCATCTGCCGGCAGAGGAAATTCAGGTTAAAACTCCTTGGCAGAAGCGTTCGCGAAACGGCGGTGCTTGATCGTTTAATCAGTGAACAACTTCATGGGGAAGGAACACAATCTTGTTTTCGTCATACCAAAACAGGCTGCGTGAACGTCAAGTAATATCTGCCGACAGTATCATAAACCTAAAAGTTGAGCACCTTGTCGACCGACCGAGCTAGTAAGATATATCATTACGAGGACTGTCTCCGAAAAGGTCCTTGTAGCTGTAAAAATATTTAAGAAGTGGGCCTAATGGCTGAGCATGCTGAGCATCTCGATATTAAAGTGGAAAGCATGCTATGAATAGAGGATCTTTAGGAGGAAGTCAGATTATAGCGCGTACATGGCTGTGCGGAATGGATGCACCACGACGGTTAAGGAGGACAGAACATCGTTCCGGACGAACCTTGCACAGAAGCTCGGGGCGAACCCAAAAATCTATATTGATACGTGGCGGAAATTAAATTTACTAACCAGGGAGCATGCGTTATGAAGGGTCCTGAAGGAGAGAACGTCTCTGGACTAGAGGTTATCAAAACTTTTGGCACAACTTTCCAAAAACAACTGAACATCCCATCATCCAACTAAAATCATCAACTACCTGGACAACCCTCGATAATACGTGATGTAGGAGTTTCATAGGACTCAGGCTCTTAAAGCTGCGTGCGCGGCAATCACGGAGGTGCTATGACACAGCCATCTGTAACGCAGAAGTATGAGGGTGCCTTAAGCAGTCTGCCCCGCAATATGCTCCAACACTCCTTAGATAAATACATGTTTTCGTCAGAGTGGAAATGTGGCCTTCCCTCCCCAGTATTCAAGGGAGGAGACAGGTAGGACCCGAAACGATGCCGACCCACACTACTTCTACTGGCGCTGCTGAAAGTAGGTGAAAGCCCGGTAGACGGTCGTGTCGGGGAGAACTTGGATTAAAGGGGAGCAACAAGTGATGCTCACTACAGTTCTAGAGAAGATAGGCCCCGCTCCTTGAACCTTCTGCAAGCCAGTGATAGTTGTATAGCATGCTAGGATCTCAGATTCCTTGCCCGCATGATTTCCCTGGATTTTGCCCAGGGATATGGCATGGTCTGACACGCCATCCTTACACACAAGACAGCGTTGCTGGGTATCAGCGGTCAGGTGCTATCCCGGCCGCATGGATATTTAGATGGCAGAGAATTCCTTACTAAGCCAACATATTTTGCTTGAATTAGACCATACCAACGTTTGGTGTAGCACTAGGAATCATTCTGAGCCGGTTGCTCTCCCTTCTTTTTGTGAATGACGCGTCGTCGAGTTTCGACCGCCTGATTCTCCTTTACACTAGCGACGCAAAGTTGAGGAAAGCTTTGACATCCAAAACAGAATCATGTCCACTGAGAAGTGACCTGAGACTGCATGCACAGTGGATGAATACCAACGGATAAGCACATAATCTTGAAAAGTGCATAACTGTCAGAAGGTTTCCAACTCTCTCTGTGGAACGTAACTTTCTGACACCACCACGGAGAAGGACCTGGGACTTATGCTGACTGATAAGTTGGACACCAGCTCCAATTACCCTGGAGATTTCCTCAGGGCCTACGCATTACCGCGCTTCATGTGCAGACAACTAGGTTTCCCCACCCTCCAACTCTTTCCGATCCTTGATAGGCCCTACATAAGACGTCAGTTAGAGGTTCACAACATCAATGCTCCACCACACCTGGAGAGAGATGTAAACGCCATGGAGAAAGTCCCAAGGCCAGCAGTAACGCTTGTTGTGGGAATAAGACAAAAACGCCACGAGGACGGACTGAAAAACCCAGGGCTTTACTCTCTCTCCACTTCCCTAGATTACCGGGTTACTTGGTAACGGCTTACGAAATACTGAGTAACCCAGGTCGTCCGGAAAAAGAAATCCCACCGAGAGACCACTGTGGCAACCCTCGTAGTAATCCAGAGAAAGTCGCCTACCAAGGGTCGAAAACCCGTGTGCGTTCACACTTTTTCTCTCTGCTAGATTGGGCCACTGGAACAAATCGACTACCAAGATTACTACCGCCCCGTCTGTTGACAGCTTCAAGAAGAGTTTGGACAGTTACGCAGCAATGCACGGTTTTGCGTCGTCCGGTTGGGGCGGAGACTAAGCTGATACAATGCGTTACCTACACACAACTGGGACAGTCAACCCTGTACTGAATCTTCTGAACAACCACTGTCATCCTGGACTTGACCCAACCTTATGTTTTCCTGTGGACATCTCCAGTTACCATCTCCTACCAGCATTATTACTATCTTTATTCCCACAATCCGCACTACAGCCTTACTTGCTTTTTCCATCTCCTTTGATTTCACGATCATACGCCATTTATTAAAGTTCTCCCTACCCTTTATCTCCCATAAATCTATTTATTTACGTCCCCTTCCGTTCAGTTTCCCTTCACATTGTCGCCTTTATTAATTTTCTTTGAACTCCCTCTTGCTTTCTTTCTCCGGACACCTTTTCTATCTTCCTTTTGCAGCCAGTCTGGCCATCTGCATGCTGGCACGACACTTGAAGAACCTATCTGCGCCACAAATTTAATCGACACCCAACCGCCCGACGGGCTAACTGCAGCCACAGTATGAGGTTGGGCAGACCTATTGCATCGGAACCCACTAAAGACAGACCTAGAACCGTTCTGGGAGACAGAAACGAGCTCGAAGAAATCAATTGGTTTACACTAACTCATAAAATGATATTGCAGGTCTGTGCTCAAGAAGCCAGATCGATGAAAACAGCCTTAGCTGTTTGGCTTAAAGTATGACATCAGTTAGGGCATTGTTTTTTAAGTCTTTTAGCCCGAAAGTTGGGTGTGATGCTTTTGCTTGGACCAGCAAGCCGCACTTCAAATTCTTTTTTTCATGCTCTAACTCAAGGTCACTCACCATTAGCTCGTCGCGAGGGTTTAACGTCAATTCACCCCGAGAATGAACTGGGTTTCTTATTACGACAAACTTGAGGGATGGGTTAGAGAGCAGTATGATGGTATAGACAGTTCTCGAAGGCGTCTTGAAAATTCTCTACTTGAGCAACAGAAATACTTAAGCGCAAATGCACTTGCCCTTAAAAAGTACAAACATGAGATGGGGTTATTGCAGTCATTGTACTCTCGTAACAACACTAACGTCAGCAGCAGTTCTCAGTCAGATGGACAGCAAAGTGCACACTGTAAGTAAAGTTACATCGTTATGTTTTATTGTGTTTTTTAGCTCGACGTTACATAATACCTCATCCTTGCCGTCGAATTGCAGCTGAGTGCATAGATATCACAATAATGATGGTACTAAAACTGGTCATGTTGTATTTTATCAAGAACGAATCGAGTATTGTGTAAGACGTAGCATAAATAACCTAGTAGGTGAATTCAGGGAGCTTGCTAAAGGTATTGGTTCGGATATTCTATCTGGTGTCCCAGAATACCGAACTCTTCGACGTGCACATGGATGGGCAAAGTCGGAGTTCAGCGGTAAAGAATTTCAAGTATCAAGCGTTTGGAGGTTATTTTTCTTCGCCCATATGGGTGCAAGGGAAGAATTTTTGGATTTCGAAATGATCATCCTGGCTGACCAGATAGGGCGATTTTTAAGCGCCCTCTTAGAGGTAACTTCATTTTTACTTAGTCTGGTTGTATTCGCTATCTGGGAAGTGTTGGGTTTTGTTCATATAGTTAGTGTAGACCAATGACCTTACTCGTTAACGTCGATGTGGCCATTCCATCCCCTTTGCCCGTAGTGGCTATATTTACTAATAGTTCACATCATGTCAGTGAGTGGGATATGTTGGGAGTATTGTCGACTCAGTAATGTTAATCGTCCATCTGTTAGGTTCTTGATCAATTTAAAAATAGGAGTGGAGATTCCCGTGAAAACGAACTAATGTTTATGCGAAAAATGTAATTTCCAGTTTCACGTAAGTTCTAGTCAGCAACTTTCTTCAGTTGGTCAACTGTTGGTATAAATGAGTGCAATATTCTATCAGTAACTTATGTGTAGCCGTGGTTATCTTGTTACATCTGTTTCTTATTACGTGGTTAAGTACAAAAATTAGAAAACGTTGAGTGGCTTTTAGGTGTTATCACCTTCTTAAGTTTTTTGTTTGTGAAAACAACACATGTAGACCATGAGGTTGTTTCCCTTTGTTTAATAAGACCTTTCCATCCTATGGTGAAATAATATCCAGAAAAAGTTTTCACTTTGCTTTCCATAGTCACCTTGATATTTTTCCGTCAGCATTTCCGCCATACGGTTACTAAGCGTTAATAAATTCGTTGGCTTGCTCACATCCGCTGTTTAAACAACAGTCTATTAGTTACTTTTTTTCCAATAACCAGCTTTTACTTTTCGGACTATAAAGTCTGCACACTCCTTTGTCATCTCTAACGCACCACTTGATTGCAAACAACCAGAATTTTACGAAAACTAATTATTTTATCTACCTGACGCAGGTTTGTGTATTAGGCTATGAACCACCTATGTTATTATCTAGTTACCTAGTTAAGTGTAATTGTATTTAAACCCAAGAACTATTGTTTGAAAGTCAATTGTTATGACGCACAACCCTTGCAAATGCTTATTATTTTATAGCTGGTCTCACTCAGTACCACTACGATGTTTATAACCTGTCACGTATGACTGGTTATGTTCAGTGTGATAAACAGCATCAGTGCATCTCTAAATGATTGCTTGTGTTTTTTTTGATTATCAAACCCAGATATTTGGAGTACCTGTAACCCAGTTGCACTACTTTCATTTAAGATTGGGTTTCACTTGTCTATAATGAGCCTTTGAGAAAATCTTTCCTTCCGTTGGATATAAGCATATGAACAACCCTAAAAGTGCCACAGAAATACATATCTCATGTATCACTGTCTAATAATAGTGATTCCTTGTGTGTAGTAAAGTTTTAAGATATAACACTTCGTTTAGAATGTAGTCCCTCAATTCGAAAACCTGGCATTAAGTTATTGTGTTCAAATTGCAAATCTTGCTGAGGCATATGAGGCAAAACAACGCAGCTGATGCATAACACAGTCATAATTCCTAGTTTTGGTCCGCTGTCTTTTGCTGATAACCTCGCTGTTGTTTATTAGACTAAAAAACAGTCATAGACTAATACCCTACACATGATGGATTTCACGGATATTTGGTTATTATTATCATCAGGTGTTAGGCAGTACATATGGTATATCCGTCAACGCATTAACAGAGATTTGGCTTCTGAGTCACGTTCATCATATGACAGGTCAGTCTCCGTGACAAGAAGTGCCATGAGAAATATTTACTCCATTGTATGATTTTTGAAACACGTTGAAAATCCCTTACATAGGAAAAGCAGTGAGTTGAATACCATGGTGTCAATGTTGTACTAGTGTAATACATCAAAAATATAGTTCACAGGTACATCTTAAATTATCAGCCCCATGCTTAGAACAAAAGTGTGTTTAACAGTGCCATCTGTTCCTTCCCAAAAATAAATTTCTAGTTTTTTGCTTGGTTCTATGTTAAAAACTTGTCAGTTGCAGACGTTATTAAAAATAGTCCTGTGGTGAATGAACACAACATTAGATGCACGACTAATAGTTAGTCCAGTAAGATAACTAGAAGTGAAAGGTTTGCCAGTTGGGTTATGTTCTAGACGTATTGTAAGGTGCAAAGGTGCTTTCTTCAGGATTTGCATACTGACAGCATTCCATCATCTTGCTTTCCCCCAGAATGATTATATGCTATTAAGTCTTAAGATTGGAATGACGGTTTTGATATGTTTCTCACACTAAAAGTGTGAGGTCGCTAGTCGTTTGAAGTGTATGAAATGTATTTTGCAGTTTTTTAATCTAAATAGTGTACCCTGTGTCGCATCAGAAATTAAAACACATGCCAGAAGTTATTTTAAAAACTTGAGTAAATAGATTTATTTTCAAGAATAATATTTAATTTTTTCTCAGGCATTTTTAATTCGACGCTCAATTTTCGGATCTGATCCAGGAGGTGCAACTTTGGGAAAATGGTTAATGAACCTTAAGGTGGTTTCATGTGAAGAGATCATAGCTTTTCCAGATGTTGTAGAGGTAGTTCCAGGAGCGGATGTGGGCATTATTAGGTAGGTTGTTATAAATAAATGACGTTTTTTGTTCTTGTACATGAACTTCAGGATAAGCAGTATCCTTACGCTTTTCTTAGTGGCTGCGCTTCCCACCCTGTTTCATGGGTTGAGTTATAGTAGTATTATGGGCCGAAACGTGAATAGGTGGGTTTAGATAGACCAAGCTATGTTGGAACCAATATCTGCTATTTTAGTGTGGTGATCAGACTCATAAATCACAATGACCCAACGATTTATGCTGGCTGGAGCAGTTATTCCCCAAGGTTCTACCATGTCAATAAGGAGTGGGACTAAGAGCAGTTACCGTCAAAGTGTAAATAATGTATGCTATGGTGGAGATCCGATGGCAAAAGAATACTGCTGGTTCTATGATGTATGACATAAGTCGTGTTTCTCAACTATAACTACCATTTCAAGATGAGGTAACTTTTTCCGAAAGAAGTACTAGGAAAGGTTAGTTGTAAAGTAGCGCACTGTTCTTTTACTCCATGGGTTTTAAGGGCTTTTTTCCAATTATGGACGTGACACATCTAAATCCTAACCCTCTGGTGTTTGATCGGTCTCATGAAAATATCACTTCCTGCTCTAAGGTCTTGTTTAGTAAGATAATCCTTACTAGTTCCCTTTCTTCCTCAGATACGTCATAAAACAATATTCACTGATGTCAGGAGTCATGAAGTATCACTCACCGTCACGCTTCTGTCAGCGTTATATTTCTTCTTTGCAATTACCGTCAGTTTTTTATCTTGTTACCTTCTAAATTTCCTCGCATTCCTGTTTGTTTTTCATCAGCTTTAATTTTTTCCAACTATGAAGCTTTAAACGCATCTAGTTTGTAAATTAGCATATCTGTTCTCCAAAAAACAAGCTTGAAACTAAACATCCGAGCTTTCGGTGTCTGTGCCCTTCATCGGATTCGACCCCAGGTCTCACTGACAAAAGCTGGCCTTTAGGGTCATGGAAAAGCTGTTTCTGAGACATTCATATATAACCCAAGTGTAACTTGACATTAGACAATAACAGATGAATGTGCATGGAAATGATTCGATATTGATCGATTAGGAGTGCAAATACGGATTCAAAACAATGAGGTGCGACAGAGTGATATGCTCTCGTGAGAATAGAATTATCAGCTAACTTATGGTACTCGGCTTTTGTCTATTCCCGAAACTGAGTAATGATTAGGAACACTTAGATTTGTCCTATTATATGTTACCATGAATTGTGTCCGTTGCTCAAATAAAACTGTTGCCTATATATAATGAGTAGAACTTAAGGTAATGTTAGCAGAAACCACACGACTAGAATGTTTACCTGATGAGGCATATGAGTGGTCACCAAATGAACATATGTAAGACTGTATACTCTTTGTCATACCACGGTCGCTCATTTGACCTCCGAGACTCTCTGTGGTGAATCTATAAAATTCACTGTTTGAGCATTCGCAGACTTCTGAGATAGTTTTCATGTTCTTGCAGGTATGGGTGTAGCGTGAAGTTTTAAGTCAGGAAGGGTACTGCTCAAACTGGATCACAGTCGAGAGTCATATATGCACCGTTAAACTGATTGATCCGGTGAAAATTGAAGGGAATAGTCAAAAACTGGTATCTCTTACTCTATGCCAATGCATCGACTGACTACAGTCCAGACAAAGTGGAAAGTGAGTTTACTAAATGCTACCCAGCATCCCACCAAAAGTCAGAAGCTCAGATATGGCCATATTTGCGGGAGATTTAATGCACAAGTTGGAAGGCTGATCCAGGCTGAAAGATCCTCAGGTGGTACTTTCGAAATCTCAGGCGAGAGCGCCGACAATTGAGATTATCTGCTAGTGAGACTACCGGGGAGAAAGATGAGTCTGTGGTCTCGTAAAGGAGGTCTCTTGAACGATAGAAAAACACTTCGGCAAACGATCCAACTAGCCTCCAGTTACCCTTTGATTTTCCACTATCCAGTCGCCATTTGGGTGGGATACAAAGCTGTAGCTCATTGAACATGCAGTCAACAAGTTCCAACTTCACTCCACCTATCAAGGTTGAGTCAGTCAGACTGCATCATTAGTTCACAAAATGCGCTAGATTAAGTTTATTGCAAAAACTCGCATGTGGCTGTTGAGTTGAATTTCATTATATATATATATATATATATATATATATATATATATATATATATATATATATATATATATATATATATATATATATATATATATATATATATATCAATTATCATTTTGACTACCTGAGATAGCTGTGGTTTGGGACAATAGTATTGATATTGGGTGGTGATTTGAGGTGAAATGAAAATTCGGACCGCGGCAGGATTCGAACCAACGACCACCGGGTTTCTTACCGAGTGCTCTACCAACTGAACTACGAGGCCCGACCGCTGACCAGATTTCTATTTCAACCATTCTTGTTTTCAATACTAGTCTGCCAAACCACGGCTATCTCAGATAGTCAAAGTGATAATCAATATGATCCTCCCCCTCTTTAATTCAGTTAGATTTGGATTGGGATGAGGAGTGGTGACTGGGGAGGTAGTGTAAGTACAATCAAGCGGTAGCAACGCGTCACGAATTCATATCAGTCTGCTGAAACCCCTTGATGATTAATATGAAATAGAAATCTGATCAGCAGTCAGGCCTCATAGCTCAGGTGATAGAGCACCGGGCCTGAAATCTGGTGGTTGCTGGTTCGAATACGACCGCGGTCCGAATTTTCATTTCACTTTCAACCACCACCCTGTATCTATATATAATATATATTAAGTGAGAAATTTGCGCATTGTGGAATGGATTTATAACGCAAATAAATATTGCTAAAATATCCCAACTTTTTTTGTGATCAATTGCAGTAGTTTTGCTCGAAATATTGCCAAAATAAAAATAAATTGTGTGTAAACTTTACACTAAAAATTTACTTATGTTAGATTAATTATGTTAATGAATGAAAGGGCATCCAATTATTTCACTAACGGAATGGCATCATAGGTACTTGAGGATACTGGTTAAACCGAATGATGTCGTAGCTTTAGTGTATCAATCGGAAGTGGTTCTCCCCTTACCTCATTTCTTGGTTGTCCAAGTCTCATCTTGTGTTCATCACTATAGAGTTAGCCTGATGAACACACCCAATTATCTTAGGTTTTCTGGTAATCTAACGCGTAGTTGAAGTCCAGAAAAAGGAAGTCGGAAAATTCCAAACAAGTTTCAAGACTGGTTATGGACTTATCAAATCTTCGCCTTAGGTGGACTTGAGATGTGGACATACCGTTATCGGGTGGAGCTGTATTTTTAAGATCAGAATTCGTATTTGACTTTGGCGTTACCGTACTGTAGGCTCCGTCCTTGATAACTCGTGGTTATTTCAGGTCCAAAATGAAGTATCGAATTTGTTGCCTACTTTAAGTGGTACCCTTCAACTTTGCCAAACGGTGTCATAGGTTTGATCATAAAAGTCGCCTCGTCTGATGTATAGGAACCGACTGAGCATAAAAGTACGTAGATGATATAGTCGTATTAAGTGACGACTCGGACAAGGTGTGGAGTTTTTTGAACACTGTGACAATTTCAAGATATTTCAGATGGGTCTGCCATCACCCGAATACGAATCATGTCTTCAAGACTAGTCTGCATTGACACATCTAACAATACGGAATGAAGTGGGTGAGCACTCTAACCCCTTCATTTACTTGAAACAACCGTGATGGGCTACTGTTCGACAAAATCTGAAGACTTGATTGGATTTTGTCAACATACACCATATTTGCTAAGGACATGTTATCCAACTGCCTACTGTGGGTCGACTTTAAGGCAAGAGAGTTTACTTCGTTCTAGCAAACGACTGTGTACCATGACCACTAATGATGGATAACGGAAGGCTTGAAGTGTCTGACCATCGCTACTTTCGTAGCATGGGTCTTTCTGAGAGTTTCAGATGAAAGAGGTGAGTCATCTGATGGTCTGCCAGCCTTCGTCGACTTGGATTGTTTGAGCATATTACACATTCCTAATCAGTATCTACCTTGACGTGCCACGTAAGCCAAAGTAGATGTAGTCTGGGAGTGGGTTGAATATGGTTAGGTGAAAATATGGCATCATTCTATGAAGTTTAAGTCGTTAAGGAAAATTTAGACTTCCAGGTTGGGGTTCGCATGACAATCCAAATCAGTGGTTGGAGACTGGGTAATACTGTTCAAAATCGATCTCGATGGCTCACGTGAAACCGCACATTATTCTAATCCTAAGCGTTATATGAAGTTTAGTTACTTGTATCACTTTATTTTCCCGTCTTCGTACTACTTTTTATGAATTTTGGTTGCATTTTTCAACTATTTCTCCCTTTACTTTTGCTACCTCGTATCATGATATGCTGGTATGAGTTGTGGCGGTTTAGACTGTTGTTAAATATTCTGAAACACCTGAGCGTTATTCATAGCGTCACTAGTTTGCAGTAATTGAGCTAAGATATTTAACGTTGATTTCTGGTTCAAATTTAATTGGAAACACCCATACTCTCTGGTCATAAGTGCAAAAACATATATATCCTACTTCTCGATGCTAGTAATCACAGATATGTTTTTTGGAACTAATTAATTTTGAAATTTTGCCCTTGAATTTCGTGAGCTACTTCATTCATTTTCTAATGATATTGTAATCTGTATTCATGTATGGAATTTCAGTAAAGAAATCTAGAAAATTATGATACTTTTCTTTATTTTAACAGAGCACTCGTACGTTCGTTGTTGAAGAGTACAAGCTTCCTTACTTTCTTTTCATTTGTCTGTATGATGGTATTTCAATATCATCGATGTACTTATGATATTATTGCTGGGACTTTGGTAGTTCAACCTATCCCACCATCTGATCGATCAGATAGTCAGAATGAACAAAGACAACAACAACAACCTCAGCAACAATAATAAAAGCATCGAGATTTACTGTCGGATCTGTATAGTTTTCATGTAAGTATTTTGTATAAGGAGAGTTCGAACACTATGGTAGGATATGATTCTATATTAAGTTTACATTGTATTGACCATAATCATATGATTTATGGTGTGATGTAAACAATAAGTTGTACTCGAAGAGTTGTCCAGTAAGTAATACTGTATCACTGCAAGCATTTCATAGTTTAACTGTTAATACCTGATGATTAAATTGCGCACAAAGCAATCTAAATACCATATATGAGTTTGTATTCTGCTATTCAATGGATAAATATACTAATCAGTTGTTTCGATGACGATGGATGAAACGAGATTTTGATTTGCAACTGGATTCACCAGCCGACTATACTAACTGGATACCTTTTGCTTACCTCTCTGATAGGTCACTTCCTTCAGTACAGTATTCTTTTGTCACATTGAATTTTTCCAGCCATACATCTTTGTTGAATTCCATAGTAGGTTTGTTTATTTGATATATAGCGCACAGTAATACAGCGTTATTTACTTGATGATGTCTCGAGCATAAATTATTCCTCATAATCATATCAATTTAATCACATACACACTGATTTTTATAGCCTTTTCACCTGATATTATTTGTTTTTAGTCGTAGTAAAATTTTCCATATCTCTGGCATAGGTTTTGCGTCATTTCTATTACATGTGTTGGGTATTGATTAGATGAACAAAGATTCAGTTACCAATTTTTCTCTTCATCCGATTATACTAGACACAAGTACAGTGGTTTTGAAATAGTGGAGAGTATTTGTAGCTCAGGTGAATGGTCTTGGTTATATTGTCTTCTCTGAGCTGGGTTGTTTACTCGTGGAGCTTTCATCGTCTTTCCAGATGGCATCATGAGCACTAACTTCTGTATGACTTCATACTGAAGTTAGTGCTGATAATGTCATCTAGAAAGACTATGGAAACTCCACGACTAAATAACCCAACTCAGAGAACACAACACAACCAATTACAGTGGTTTTATCCCACCCTATTGTGTGGTCGTGTGTTGATGCATAGATTGCATTAGCTGAGCGATTTTCTAGATTATTGTTCCTATTGGGATCTGTCATTCTATATTTAGCTAAATTCTTATATTCCTCTAATCAAAGCCTGTATTGTGTTACCATTTAAAGAAGGAACATCAGAAACTTTCCGTAGGATTCTCAACAAAGTTGGAATTAGAGTGGCATTTAAACTTACAAACCCACTCTGTGATAAGCTTTGCCAGCTTGAGGATCCGATAGAAAACAACTGAGCAAAATAATCTAATCTATCAAATTCCATGCAATGACTGTGAGGTCAAGTACATGGGTCAAACTAGGAGTTTAGCTAAATATAGAGTGACAGACTCCGATAAGAACAATAATCTAGAAAAACACTCAGCTGTTGCAATCCGTGCGTTAACACACAATAGGGTGGGATAAAATCGCTGTACTTATGTCTAGTATAATCGGATGAAGAGAAAAATTGGTAACTGAATCTTTGTTCATCTAATCAATACCCAACACATGTAATAGAAATGACGCAAAACCTATGCCAGAGATATGGAAAATTTTACTACGACTAAAAACAAATAATATCAGGTGAAAAGGCTATAAAAATCAGTGTGTATGTGATTAAATTGATATGATTATGAGGAATAATTTATGCTCGAGACATCATCAAGTAAATAACGCTGTATTACTGTGCGCTATATATCAAATAAACAAATCTAACTTGGTTAAAGTTGTTTCACTATACTACAGAAAGGAATCAAGATAGCAATCCGACATGAAAACAATCATAATCAAGTAGGATGCTCAAGATTTTACAACGAATCAATCTTGTGTACTGTTTTGATTCAGCCACTCCAGGTAACATCTCCTGTTACTGATTTTGAATATCTTGCGACTTCGGATCAGAACACTGACAATTCGTACAGCTGAGATCATTAAATTCGTTGGTTAGTACTATGTTCTGATATGAACTTGATCACGATGCCCCTTTTAATTGACTTTCTATACTTAACCTCTCTGGTATTAATAAGTTGAAATCAACTATGAAACTCATAAAAGATCGGTGACTGATTATCCTCTCTGTTTTATGCTTGAGTTTTATGTGTGTATACTTTATTTCCTAAACTCCACTGATCAGAAAAGTTAATGCTGCTGTTTACTGTTCGATGCTTATGTAGAGGACGTGTAGTTAGACAGACAGACGAAATCGATGTAGAACCTTTGCACACAAGTGCATGGGTTCAAGTTTCAAAACTTCAATAATATTACATAAAGATAAAGTTCATAGTAAAAGACTAATATCAAAGTACACGGGTGTATGGGAGGAGAGAGAATTAAAAAATTAAGGTGAGTTAAAATATTTAAGTTTTAGAATATGTTTAATTGATTGAGAACATTTTATATCTACATTACTTGTTTATCAATTGTAAACACTCAGTTAGAGAAAAAATTTAAGAAGGATCAAATATTAGGCGACTACTGGAAACGAAAACTGAATAGTCGTCAAGTAATCAAGTGTACAAAAAGCTCACTACCGAATGAATATTCGCCAGTGTAAGTCGTTTTGAGCAATATCGTTTCACCATACAACTCAAATCAGTAACTTCATACTTTTGGAAGTATATTGTACAAAACGACACTGGTGAGAGTCTACCAAAATACCTCATTAGGAAAATCACAATGAGTAGTGATATAATATCACACAGCCTTTTATTCACCGTAATTTATGAAAGTAGCATCTAAATTGTGCTGCAGGAATAAATTGTCCTCCGTGATCTTTGCTTGCAAAGTATTGCCACTAAAAATTGTCACCTCATGTTGTTTCGGTATTAAGAACTCCACTTTTTGAAACTGACAAACTGTATTTTTTCCATTGCTTTTCACACTCGTCAACAATTTGCACCTAGTCAAACTCCTTGCCTTTTCTTGTTATTTGCATTATTTTGTAGATTCTAACGCAACTCCTTTCCACTGTTTATTTCAGTTTCTAACACTTATGATGCAACTATACCCTGTTGTGAAAAGAAATTGTGATATTGTTTGTTATACATATGAGTACTATTGTACAGTCTTAGAAAATGATGTCATCGAAAAAGGAAAAAAGTTTATTCACAGAGTTATTTCTTGTTTCCTTTATGAATTATAAACATCCCTCGTAATCTAAAATTGAGCAAGAACTCTGTGACGGTAGGGAACATGAACAGAAAAGGAATGATTATGCCAAGTGGTTAATTTCTGACGATAATTAGGGACCAATTTGAAGGAACAAGATGGTTAAAATAATAATGATGGTGATCATCTGTGAGATGAACGGCAGGAAGAGTCATGTTTTTATAGATAAACAGCTTTCTAGGTGGCGAATGCCAAAAACGAGGTTGTACGAACTGCTTTTGAACACACAGACTCAGCTTGTTAAGGTTATTTCCAATGGCTTCAAGTGCATGTAAAAGATGAATCTGTAGAGCATACGTGAGATTAAGCTATGATAAATACCTTTATAGGTATTACGAATGCCTCAGTGACCAATGTCTAATATCACTACCAGATTGGTGCGTTATTTTATCTTTTGAGGTGCCATACATTAGTGTGGAGTCATACGCTAAGGAGCTGATTGAAGAGAACTAATTCGCTCACAGTTTTTGTTGTGAGGCCCTAGTTTGGCATAAAACATTGTTATCGATCTGAACCTTTTTAACTTGGCATTCTCACCATTTTTACGGTATGACTAGTAGTCTATTTTCTGCCCCATTGTAAGGTAATCCGCTGATTGGTTAATCTTTACTCTTACTATGCCAATGTCAAATTGCGGACAAGGTCATTTCTCATGAGTGCACTTATTCACGTGTTTTGGGATTCGTTACTATTATATTCTCGGAGAAACAAACTCCCATCACCAAGCTTCGATCTTCTCTCTATTCGTCCCGGGGTTGCAGTCAGTGGCTGTTGTGTATTAAGTTAGCTGTCAGTTAAGCGTGCGTATTATATTCGTTCGGAATATACAACCGTTGGTGACGAAAATATAAGTTTTCTAAAGAGAACCTAACAGTTCTCATTTCAACGGAATGTGAGGATGCTTTACCATACGTTAAGAGGGTGACTATTTCTTGCTTTAAGCATTTAAATTCCTTCGCCTACGTTCAGTATCTGTCACGTAAAAGTTCTGGAGATTTGTATGAAAGAGCTGAGAAGTCAAGGTCAAACAGATGAATGATAATATTACGAATTGTAATGGTAAACGGTGTGTATGCGCAGTGTGCCAACAAGTTACAGGATTTTAAGAGTGATGAAAATTGTGTCCAAGTTCTAAACTTTACCGAGATTTGAAATGTATTAAATTTATTGAATATCTTCTTATACGTATTCTGATGCTATATTTTCGCCCATCAGAACCACAAATTGCAGTAAGCAGAAAGAACCAAACACTTACAATTTGCATGTATCGTGGTTCACATAGTGTTGGTATACCGACAGGTGGTTCTCCTATGATAGCAGTTCTAATTATTCATTTTATTGTTCTATTTCAGAATAATTTACTCACCGTACGGTATATCAATCAGTGAAAAATCACCTAAACTGTACTATATACAGCACTTCACTGTAAAAATATGCATCCTTATTGGATGTTCCTTGTGTATCATGTGAAATTCCACTCGTTGATGTTCCCCTTAAGAGCCTTCATTTCTTTTCATGTCATATTCCAAATTTTATGCTATCCGAAGTTCATTAGAACCAGGAGTTTTTTGATTTTCAAAAAAGTCATGTTACTTTGTTGTTTATTTGATTTTTAATTACCACTAATGTATCTTCACTAAAACAGAAAATAGCCATCAGAGTTTACGCTAGATGAATTGCGTTTTTTTTATAGTAGGTATTTACGACACAACCTTTTCGAATAGAGCATAAGCGATGATGTCTGTAGAATAAAATGAGCGTATTTCATTTCGTAGCTTCTCATCAGCTATAATTGAAATGAAGTGATGAATAAAGGTCTTAATAATTTAGAAATAGTCAAAGATTTCAAACCCTGGAGTATCAACAAAATAGTGGGTCGAAATAATGCAGAAAAAAGCGAGTGATCACTGGTTGACATCGATGGGGATTTATGAGTGTTCAGATAAAAAGTTATAAGATTCTAAAAAATCAAGGTGAACGCGTGTTAGAAAATGAGTTTGTAAATAGGCAAGTTACACAACCACATTAATAATTGGGAAATATTAAACCGGTTAATAAGACGATGAAAGATATGTAAAACTAGGAGAATAAAGAAAGGTTAATAAGATTCCTTCTATGTAAGGGGGTCATATCGGATCCAGAGGGTTTTGGTCACACTGTGTAGACTTAACATTCTTTATTTGTTGTTCTGGAAGACTGAGATGCATCTGTTTGGTGACCTTTCCTTGACGTACATGATGAATGCTTCCTTTCAAAGACAGATCGCTCTGAACGTGCTCAGCAAATCTAATAGATGCGATTTCCCAAGTCCTTGGTTAACGACATTGCAGTGCAAAGCGATACACACCTTGCTTATTATGGGGATATTGTCAGTTGCTTAGCGAAACGTAGTTACTTTATAATAACTATCGTAATCACTTCTGTTAGTACCGATATCCTACTTCTTATGTATATTGTTGACTTTCTAAGTGTTTACTGGTTTGTATTTAAAGACCTGAAGCTTGCTCTAGGTAGCATCAGTTCCATGGATTCTTTTGACAAGTTCATGCAATAAATGCCTCGCTTACGTCATCGAAATGAACCTAATTGAGAAAATAAGTGGCTACAGTCTAAGTGGACCTTAACACTTTTTTATTATTTAGTCATTTTAGTGACACCGGTGCACACTTAGACTTCATGCAGGAGTTACTAAAGCAGAAGGCTGATATTTAGAAAAATCAGTTGAGACTGTATTTACAGCAATTGTTTTCTGCTTGCATTCATGATGCCATTAGTGAATTCGAGGGAATCACAGGTTATGACCTGGATATTTCGACTCAACAGAAATCCATGGTGAGAATGCACAACTGAGATTACTGTAGTTGCTTTTTCTCCCCATAGGCTTGAAGGGAACGAGAAGACAGAGACGAAGGAAAGAATGTTTATGATTAACATGTGGTACAGTAGTCGTCAAGTATGGTACACCTTGCACTAAGACAGTCATTTAAAAGATATGCTTTATTTCCTTTTGCTTCTCTGTTGACTTGCTCTTTATACGCCCGCATTGTCTCTTACGTTCGTCCTTACCCATTGCTGGTAATTGCCTATGACTTCTGCTGTCCTCTCAACACATACTACTTATATCCATTCTTATCAGCAACGCCCACTACACTGAATGATCCTAGCTCCTCTTGTTATTTAATATTTTAAGTTAAATGAAACCAAATCTGAAAGAAATACCACAGGTAAAGTGTTTAATTGATATGCGCCGTAAAATTACTTGTGAAAGTTTGCTGGCTTGTGTTTGATTCTGCGATCGGATTTACGTAATTTAAAGTACTAAGACTAGTAAAAAGAACTGTATTCACTTATACAAGCATGTCTATAGTAGCTTATGCTGGATCGACAAAGCGTCAACTCTACCCAATTTCATGTGCAATTTTATTCTGCAGATGATTATTGATTGCTTTAATTCCGCACTAGTCAGTTATTCTACTAGAAGGGGATTGAATAGATTAATACGAAATTGTCAGTGCTGTTAGTTGAAGGAAATAATATTCACGTACTCAGTGAGTTCGAAATTTAGACTTACTAGGCTTTAAACATCCGAGAAGTGAAATAAAACAGGAACTATTCATAAACTTAGGTCATCTCTGGATACAAGTGACATCATTTTGCATATTATTGTCCACTTGGAAGGTATATCTCTGGATGACCAACAACGTGATCTCCGCATCCATACAAAACGGATGTTCGGTTCTAACCGAATAATACATCCCTAGTCATTTTGCTTACTGAGAGCCAAAACCAAAACGCATTGCTTCAAACAGCGTTGAGGGATTGCTGTAAAAACCTACGAAAGACAAAAGTGCTTCACAATTGGTAATTTAGGAACCTTGCTGGATCAGTAACATGTATCTGTCCTGCAAGTAATATGAGTTTCACTGACTATCAGCTACACAAGCTGGAAGATAAAACAGCACGGCCTACCGGTGGTTCTTTTCCATCAGCATTCCTCTCGCAGTACCGAGAAGCTGTACATAGAAAGGGTAATGAGTAGTAGTTATACAGTTTACTGAAGTTAGGAATAACCCGGGTTTGAAAATGGCATATAATCTATTGTACTACTTCTTACTTGGTAAGTTGAGACCTACTAAATATTTGGAAAATGATAATATCGGACAAGAATTCTAAGCAGATATATCTTCTCTAAGACAACATTATGTTAGTAGTCAGCTGTATGCGGTACAGAAATAATTGAGAAATATAGTGTACATTAGTAGATATACTCTATAGTTTGAAAGATTTACCTGAATAATACTAACTGGTTATAATCATAAAGAATGTACACTTAAAATGAGAATTTCATTCAAAATAAGTGCTTCATTATCATATAAAAATTTGTATATTCTGCTGAAGAAGCTGTGGTTTACACAATGAAACGCTCAGAAATATCCTCTTCTGATTATCTAAACACGCCGAGATTAAGATTTACTTTTATAATGACCCAGTCAGACTCGACGCTCAACTCTTTTCTGGGATATTCGTAGCAACTATGATCCGAACGTTTATAATAACTACTTAATTGTTTCAAATATTCATCCACCTTTTTTTTTATCCTAATGAATGTAAGTTTACGGGCTCAAAACAAAGTTAATCACTTCCTCAACACACATAAAGAACGTCGTCATACTTGCAAGAACTGTTTTCACCATACAAAAGACCTATTCCAGTACACACCTTTATCCTTTACTAGGAACCGAGAAGTGTCATGCTTTATATATTATATTGTATCCTATAAAATTTGGAAGTCTAATTAAATGACAAACTGACGGTAAAAAAAAAAACAACTTAAAGAGGGAAACAAAATTTATGCATTATACAATATCTTGATTTGTATGAATTTGCGAAATATATTAATAGTAAAGAAATCAATTTAGAAATTAATGGAAGTATAACGTCTGATCGTAAATGTTCATTAATAATCACTGAAGAAGAGAAACTAGAAAAATAGTATTAGCATTTTATTGTTAGATGATCAAAAAACAAAAATTTGATTCCTTGGACGCTTTGATAGATCGTCGTCTAGGTACATTAGTAACTGAAAACAAAAAGGAGAAGTCATAAGTACATTCAAATCAGAATTATGTATAACACAGAGAATGAGTATCATACAGTTAGATGAGTGATAGGTATACTATATAATCACAATGGGATTCGATTCTCAGTTACACCAACAAGAAGCTCACTGAGATGATAAGGGTGAAGTCACTCGACCAGACATGCATAAGACGAATGCACACCCTAGATTTCTCAAGAAGTGCTGTCACTGAATACCTGAAGAACTGTTATTTGTTTGTATTTACTCATGGCAATATACACAAGGTAGGATGCATTTTATCGTTGATGAGGATTATTCGCTTCACGATAAACTTCCGCTCATTGACTGGTAAAAGCGACATAGCACCTCGTACGCAATTACATCGGTTCGAGTTGCCAAACTTCAAAGTGTTACACAAAGAACAGGTGGATAGTGATACCAAACTTGTATGACAGAATAAACAGTTTAAAGTTGGTGCGAATATTCAAACCTCAGAAGATATCAAGGAGTAAATCCATCTGCGCCACTGTGACCGATTTTCATTCATGTCACCAAGAGTCCTCAGCCACTGGTTCCCTTCAACTGGGGACCCCAGTCAGCCAGTCTACAATTACCAACTCGGCTCAGACCGACAGTCAGAGACTTCATGGACGGAAGCCACGTCTTGATCTCACCAGCATGAATCCTCTTCCAACTTTCCCCAGCATGGCCTATCGAGGTAAGAGGTGACTCGGCATGCATAACATATGTCCAAACCATCTCAGTCGGCTTGGGTTCACGACCTCATCAATCAACTTGCCGTTTTTGACTAGTATCCTTCGCATGACCTCAACATTGCTCACATACTGATTCCATCAAATGTGAGCAGTCCAACAAAGATATTTATGATCAAAACCCTGAAACTACTTCATTTGTTTTACCTTAAACGACCATGTCTCAGCCGTGCAACAGGACTGCAGCGCAGTACACTTCCTTTGATAGATAGTCAGATATCTTACCGGTCAGCACCACAGGTGATGCATGTTGGTAAACGCCAAACGGGCCTTCTGTATCCGTTCAGGCTGATGTAACTCCATAAGTAAGAGAAGTGGTCCACACATCCCACCACTTGACTCCTTATAATTAAACTAGGAGTGCTTGGAGTACATCAGTCCTAAAGCATCATGTTACATTTGAAAGGTGCCAGTGAAACGCATGCCAAACATAAGCAGACTTTCGCTCAACACGTTCACAAGACCCAGCGTTTCCGCAGAGTCTTCACCCAAGTTATAAGCACTGCCTCTTGATGCCAATTCAGAGGATAAAACGTACTGAGTTCGGAAAAAAAAATATCAAAGACCGGTAGGTGCTTGATGAAAAGCAGGAATTTCTAGTTCTTTATTCTCAAATCTTAAAACTACTCAACAGTAGATAGAGGAAGCTGATGGTGTTCAAAATAACTTAGATGAATGTTTTTGTACACAAAGTTCGGGAGTTCTGTTGGTTGACGGCAGTATTGAAGTGCAGGTGCCGGGATTACACAAGTAAAAATACACCTTACACGATGAATCAAACAAAACTCGATGCCAAAGTTTTCAGGAAGAACAAATCAAGTGTAGATCAAATTCCAACACTACACTACGTGTCATCATAGAACAGAGTATAGAATGTCAGTCAACTGGATCTTTACCTCAACTTCATCGATTTTGAAAAAGCCTTCGACAACGTCGACCGACAAGTAATTTGACAGGCAGCTGCTTCAACACTACGGTTTTAGTACCACAAACCTTTATCAACCTCAGTCAACAGCTATAGGAAGATGCTACATGCCGAGTGATTCACAATGGAAAGGTCAGTGATGCCTTTGAAGTTTGGACAGGAGTTAAACAAGCCTGCTGCCTACTGTCACCGATCATCTTCCTGACTGTGGTGGACTGTGCTGGATCATGCAGAAAACCGTGAGTAGCGAGAAGATGGGCATACACTGACTGGACAGATGAAAAGACCCTAGAAGAAGAGTTGGATTTCGCCGCCAAGGATGATTTATGTCTAGTGTTTTGCTGCACAAACTCGAGGATCTACAGGCGAAAACCAACAAGTTGACAGAAGAGGTGAGACAGCGAAAACGGGGCTTTAAGTGAACGTAGAGAAGACAGAGATGATGAAGATACCCAGCCAACAACAAGCACCAATCACCATCAATGGGAGAAATCTAAAGGAAATTGTCTCTTTCGCCTACCTACCTGGGCAGCATCACTGCAACTACAGGTGGCACAGATGAGGATGTCAAAACCACAATCAGAAAAGCAAGCCAGGCTCTCATCAATCTGAAATCAGTGTGGAGATCTACTGATCCCCACTCAGCATAAAGAACAAGATCAGGATTTTCAACACTAATGCCAGTCGAGTCAGTGCTGCTATATAGTTCAGAAACTTGGCGCGTCACGAAAGGCATTCCCAACAAACTACAGACATTCATCAACAGCTACCGCATACGCTCACTCAATACTGAAGATCAGATCGCCAGAAAGAATAAGCAACAAGGAATTCTGGCTGGCAACGAACCAACCAAGAACCTATCGCCCAACAAATATGCAGAAGAAGTCTGGAGTTGGTCAGAGTTCTGATCGAGCAGAACAATGTCGTCTGTGTACTCCAAGTCACCTACTTAGGTACGTTCCAAGGAGCAGGAGTTATGTCTGTTAGTACGTCTGAAGTGAAGCTAAACAGGAGTAGCGACAGAAAGCACCTCTGACTGACACTAATGGCTGTCGTCACTTCATATAAAAATTCCTTATAAGGTTTTACACGGCTATGTGAGAAGAGAGCCATGATCCGCAGTATATATTCCTTTCAAAGTCAAACACTACCTTCAGGTAAAAAAACTGGCGTCGGTCGTCGGTAAGTATGCCTTGGTTCCACAAACTGCCAAGGAGTGAAGATTTAATCGATACAACTTCATCCAAATGTTGAACCTGTCTAGTCTATCCGAGTTTGCTGTTCCTGAGCCTCAGCTAGGCATTGGATAGATATCAACCCTAGAATCTTGGATAAAATGATTTCCCTATGGTTATCACAAGAAGACTTATCTCTTTTCTTGTAAACTTAGATGATGAGTGGTGTAGATCAGTCTCATGGTACTACCTGTTTTTTATCAAATATCCAGCACCCTGTTACTCTTCTCAGCAGTATTTTAACTCCATTCTAAAAAAAGTCTAGTGGTACACTGTCAGATCCTACTGCTTTGCATTGTTTCACGTTTTAAACAGTATTCTGAACTTTGAAGAGAGCAGTAAGATGGATATCAAAGTTCTACTGTGGTTCGGGTTGGGTGCACTGCATCATCCAGAATGCAATCAGAGACCGCGTTGGTGAAGATCATGAATAGGTATCAGCGAATGTCACAATTTTGCATACCCCTTCAGTCGGAAAACACAAAAACGGCTATTGACTAGTATCCAGTCGAAAAGTGCAAATTCTGCAACCATACTATCGAATGTTGTACAAGAACAATGGAGTTTTTTACAGTAATTTTAAAGAAATGATACTGATTGAAATACGAATAACGACTAATATATTTACCCATGTATTACAAGGTAGCTGTAGATACAGTACAAAACTGGTTTGAATCAATTACAAATTTAAGTTTATGCCAAATCCATAGCTGAAAATTTCACTATCGACTAAACTCCATCTGCAACTCAGTAAACAAGTTCAGGTTCATATACTAGGCAATACATCGAATTGTAGTAGATCAAGGAGCTTGATGCAGGTTGAAATTCATACCACTTTTTTTCACAGGTTTATATATAGCCAAAACAACTAATCACGGGCACAAATGTAGTCTTTGGATTACACAAAAAGCCTTCACGATTCCCTCTTATTGTAATTTTATTAAGCTTGGATATATATATATATATATATATATATATATATATATATATATATATATATATATATATATATATATATATATGATCAACTTCAAATCTAGAACAGAAGTTCATTACTTCAGGTTGTCACAATTCTCAGCAGAGTGTCCATTGAACCCACAGAAGTATGACTGTATGGTTCATCGTATCCATCCTTATGATGATAAGTGATTGGTTTTTAATGACAGGAATAGTCTTGAATTCTTCGTTCAGTCAACTCATTCAAGCTGATTCATTGATTCTGTAAGGACTTTAACTTCTACAAGGTAAAATCCCATTGAAGTACATACATTGAAAATGAATGAAGAAAACGTATACATGGACTTACCATAAAAGAAAAGAACATGGATATTGACGATAAAAAGTGCCAAACATCATGTGCATCATAGAAATCTAATAAAACACATGGTTGATTAAGTGCACGGGATCGAGCAGGAGTCACCTGGCAAGTAGATTTTAATTGAAAGAAGAAAACCTTTTCAGTGGTGAAGGGATAACATAGTGTACCGGAAAAAAGTGACATACCATACTCACCAATTACCCTATCAAATTTCGACATAGCTTTTTAAAAACTTCAATGTTCACAGCTCAGCTCATTTAAGTAGTTTAATGGATGAGATAATGTTTGCAGACAGACGAAATCAGCGTAGAACCTCGTACACAACTGCATCAGTCCGATTTGCAACACTTCACGTTAGTATACAAAGAACAAGTGGATAGAATAAAAGTGACAAAGTTGTGTGAGACAATAAACAATTTAAAGTTGGTGCGAATATTCAAACCTCAGAAGATATCAAGGAGTAAATCCATCTGAGCCACTGTGACCGATTTTCATTCATGTCACCAAGAGTCCTCAGCCACTGGTTCCCTTCAACTGGGGACCCCAGTCAGGCAGTCTGCATCTGCCAACTCAGTCCAGAGTAACAGTCAAGGACTTCATGGACTGGTCACATATCTTGGTTTTGCGACAGTGAACCTTACCCAATTTGTTCTAATGTCCCCTAGCATCGCACATGAAGGTAGGCAGCGGAACGGCATGCGCAGTACGTGTCTAAGTCATGTCAGTCGACTAGACTTCACAGCCTCTTCAATCGACTTGGCTTTCTTGTCTAGTATCCTTTGCAGGTAACACAACAAAAGAGAAAAAAATGGAAATAATACCCAAAGTAAAAAGCACATGAAGAGGCGAGGAGAAAAGGAGATAAAAAGAAAAATAACCACGACATTAAAGAATGTAGACACTGATATGAAGTAAATATAAATTCATCATTGTGGTTGGCCCTTCAGTTGAGTCAGATGAAGTGTCTGACCACTTATTTCACTGGTTCCGAACTAGTTGATCACATCTGTATGGCTCAGATCAGCGGATCACCTTCTAATCTGTCCGAATTTCAAACATTTAGCAACAGTGATAGGCAAACCGTTAGTCAAACGATTAGAGTCCTCAGAGTTCATTATACATGTAGGTGTTGATAGTAAATGAAATGACATAATCAGGTTATTATGGGATGCAACAATATCCTCTAGACTCCTCAAAGAAGCCTGGATACCCCTGAATAGCATTCCCAACCAATCATAGCATGTCGAAAGTTCGAGAAAAACTACGTGATCATAGGCGTGAGGTTCAGATTGATTAAAGGGATTTCTAGAAAGGTGTAGGGCTTTCCAAGGCCATCAACAAATGTACATAAACTGTTAATTTTCGTACATAGTTGACTGGACAATAAACCTCTGTCGTTTTGCCAATTCTTTTCTGTTTTCGAGGAAGCGAGCGATCATCAAGGGTGAAGTCTAGAGTAATTGCTGAAGAGTTCACTCCTATAACACAAGTATATATCATAAGTATCGATCAAGTTTTTTATACTTCACACTGGTATATTTGGCGGAAATTAACAAAGGGATAAATAAGATGAAAATGACACTGGCAGTGATAAGAAAAAAACAAGATAGAACAGTGAAAGTAATCAAGGATACAGAAATGTGAAAGCAAAAAAAGACGATGATATTTGCTCTTCACCCCATTAAGAGCATTAAGTACAGTCTACAACCTTTGAAGAACACACTTTTAATTGTTTCCCGAGTAGCATCAAAAACATAGTTGATTAGAAAACTGACTTACTTCCCATGTAGTTGTTCGTGTTAAGTAAAAATAAATTGCACAGCCCCATGAGACACAAGCTAACAAAATATACACCAACGATAGCATTTGAAAGCGTTCACGATGTCTCAACTAAAAAAAATATAATGGAGAAAATGAAGACAAAAAGCCTACAAATAAAGCATCTTTGACTAATACAAAGAAAATTCAACGTGGATTCTGTGAGGGAAATACAATAACACTAAAAGAATTATTTTAACTACATCTAATTTATCTGTTCTTCCCGTTATTTAACAAAGGTGAATGTCACTAATTTCTAAATAAGACTGTAAATTTATACACCGATCGAGGAAACATAATGTCCCTCAGAGATACTCAACGAAACCTAAATAACAATTGCTGGTATGATTTATAGCTTCAAATGATAATTTATGCATTGAAAGGAGTGAAACTGATTGTTATAATAGTGTTACATGATCACATTTGAGCACCGATTTTTTGTTCTTTCTTTGAAAACATTCTTATTATGTGTACCATTTCATCTTTAGCTGTGGAGTGGAGCTGTGGTTTGTTGATTTACGGAGATGAATTTCAACCAATGGATCACGGGTTCGAATGCCGCGCTACTAACCGATGTCCGGAGTCAGGTAGTCTTGTAGTGGGAGCTGCTGATTACAACGGATATAAGTAGTATATGTTGAGAAGGCGACAGAAATCATAGGAAGTTATCAGCAATGGGTAAAGATTCTGCCCAGAGAAACGCAAGAGACAATTTGGGCGTATTAAGAGCAAATCGAGATAAAAGTAGGAGAGAAAGTGAAGCACATTGTGGAAATGACTGTTTTAGTGGAAAGTGTACACTATTTCATCATTACTGTATGAGATGTCAATAATAAACATTCATGCGTCTCAGTCTTGTCGTTTCCTGCAGTATCATTATCCCTTATGCATTAAGTGTAGCTCGTTGCTTACTGCACAGACACTGTACAAGGTTGCTGAGCGCATTTCGATTAGCTCTTGTGGAGCCAGTTATGTTGGCCGATGTTCTAGGAATTTAATTGTTCAGGTTCATGAACACCTCCTAGCATTGCTAAGTAAAGGTTTAGTGAAAAATGAAAAAAATGAAAATACCTCCACAACAGCTCACTTAGTTCAAACTCTGTTTGAACTAAAGCTAATGTGAATCGATCAATTTTTTTATTATTTACCCTTATCTTCATTAATTTATCAAAAGCTACAAGATGATGAATACTTTAAATAGCAGAAACTGTAATTATTCGACCTAAACAGCCTGAATATGTGTACCAAAAAAAACAGGTGTGGCCATAACTACTACCTTGGTTAGTTGATCAACTTTTGCGCTAGTTGTTTGAATTGTAAGCTGCTTGGATGTAAAGTTGGTCGCATTTCTTCATTTTTGTCCCCATACATTTGTACAACCTGACCTGTTGCATCTACCAAACTGCTGGTGTTCTTAATCCCTATGAGGATTTACACACAAACATTCACTTGTGTTTCATATCCAGTCTACTTATGCAAAGATTTATTCGTATAAATTTCATTATCGAAGCGAACAGAACTCCTTTTAACCTTTAATCACCACTATACAATCCCTTGTTATTAGTAATCATTTACTTTGACTAACAACTGTCTAACACCATTGATTTTCACCATCCAGACATGTTATCGCCTAAATGGTTGGTCATTTCGAAATGTATTCCAGTAACGTACATTTCTAACATCGTCCTTATGCACAACGCTTCGGAAGAGAATTCCTGGACTATTTATTATTAATAATTGACATTCATTTACAATCTCACAGCTGTTTACATATATTTATTCTCTGATTAAACAGTAAGAATATATAACTACAGAGTTTGAGTAGGAAGTTGTTGGAAAGAATATTCATTGTTCGTTCAAGGAACATCTTGATATCAGGTTAGTACTCATCATGGAATGACATCAGTTGGAGAAACAGTGGAAACCTGAGAGCGATGGACAGCTGTTTCGCCCTAGTATGGGACTCCTCAGCAGTGTGCACCCATGACCTGGCAAGAGACCGGACCCAGGACGTTCAGGCTGCAGGGCCAGCACCTTACCACTGAGTCGGGATCTAGCGGTCCATATTTCCTGCTTCCTGTCTATGATATAGCTCGACCTCCATTCAATGACATCGTTGAGTGTCCATCCTCATATCAAACTTAGTTTGCCAAGCCGGTCACGACTTCGCATTCGGACTTCGAAAACTACCTCTCGCAATGAGTCACCAATGAGCCCTAGATTTATTAAATTTGAAGGTTTGTGGGAATTTATTTGTTGATTCTAGGTTGGAATTCATCGACAGAGACAGATATTCAACGACGGGATTGTATGGAGGTCGCGCTATATCGTGAACTGACCGAAGTAGGAAATACGAACCACAGGAATCTGACCCAGTGGCTCGATGGTAACGTACTGGCCCCGGGAACCTGAAGGTCTTGGCTTCGGTCATGGGTGTACACTGCTGAGGAGTCCCATACTAAGATGAAACAGTTTCCCAGTGCTCCCAGGTTTCCAATGTTTCTCCAACTGATGTCAATCCATGATGAATACCAACTTGAAATCAATAAATAAATCCCCACAAACCTCCAAATTGAACTTATTGATCAGCAGAAGATCAACGTTAATGAACATTACTTATCAATATGTGACATTCATTCAGGTGCTGATGATAAATAACAGGTAAAATAAACATATGCATACGTTTACTACTTAAATGGGTTACTTATTAGTGCAAACAGCATGGCTAATTACAAGAAGTTTGGTTAGAAAAGTTGACTAAAAATTTTAAATGCTAACTGTTATTGGACAGAAATGCAAGTTTCTACTGGGTTACATAATTAGCAGTCCGATGTACTATCAGTCCGACACTTCATAGACAGATCTAACTTCCGAATTTCACATCAAATTAAACCATATCTAACTAAATTCCCATAACATGAAATGCTTGGGAAAATATCTAAATTGAAAACAAGATATATCATAAAATTTTGAAAAAGACCTAGAAATATCCAATTAAAATCCTACTGTCTTAAGTGAACAGTGATAACTGACAGTTGGTTCCGTTGTAATGATTAAACAGTAGTCCTAGTAGTAGATGAGATCCATCACTTGGAAGTGAAGCAAATGCCTACTGAAGATTTTGGTGGATAGTTGTGTTATATCACAAATTGATTGAGCTCTGATCCAGTGGCTGAACGGTTAACGCGTTCGTTACGTGACCTGAAGGTCCTGAGATCGACCCCTGACGAGATCGTGGGTGCGTACTACTGAGTCTCACCCTAGGACGAAACAGTTATCTAGTGTCCTGGTTTTCAATGGTTCTCTAACTGATGCCAGTCTATGATGAATATTACCCTGAAATGAAATTGCCATGAACCTCAAACAAATACGTAAAGCGCACACTTCTAAATAAACATAAATCATTGAAATGATAGAAAAACATAAAAGAATCAACACGGTCACAAAAAGATATGAGTAATTCTCAGCCTGCCATTTTGTGAGGTATATACAGCATGTTAAGCTCTGCTGGGATGTGATCCTTTACAATCATCTTCTAATAGCTGATTGATATTTGAGTGATTTTAAGGGACACCCTAGCAACAAGTAAAATAACCAATTAGACTTCTGTATTTTATGAAAATTTGCCTTTCCAGCCAAAATGAAATCTAACTGGTTATTTTGGTCGTTGATAGGGTGGTCTTTAAAGTCGCCTTTAATATTTCTCTCTATTTTAAAATGCACGACTACAAAGTCAAGGTATCAAAGTGAACTAAACTCTTTTTAAACAATAACTAACTATGAAGATGGAATGTAAACAATGAATATTCCAAACAACATAGAAATCTCAGTCTAAAACATGTCTTCGAATATGGTTTAAAGCAAACCATATAAGATGTACAGACCAGATAAATCATAAAAAAGAGACTGGTTAAAATGATATTTGAGAATAAATTTAAAATAAGTATTTACTTTCCTGCACTACATTCATAACCACCATTATTGTTATTTCAACCTCTTATTATTTAAGTTAAATCTTCCTCACGGATTACAGTTGTTAAATATCGCATATATATGTATATATATACGAATGCACAGCTTGAGAATAAATTCGTTGAAAAGAGTCCCCTTCTCTGAATATCTTGCTCCCTACAATAGCATAAAAGTGAATCTTGGGCACTGTGGTACTATGTAATTCCACTTTAGTTGATTAATTAGATGCATCACACAGCGAAATGGAATTATTTACTTCATACTGAGTCATTCCTGTTGCAAGTATTCCGTGTTGTATCAATAAACCAAGATTCGGTTTTCACTCACTGCACACCACGAAGTTAGTTTTAAGGATTATAGCTTTGCCCCATCCGATTGTGTGTAAATGCATGTCTGGTCGTGCCAAAGTATTCCTATAGATTCCTTTATCAATCTTGATGTAGCTAAACTATTGTGCTTGGATGGCTTAACTGACACTTGTCCAATATATAATCACTACAGGATACTACCTACTATTTTTCCTTTGGGTTCATAGTGGAACAGAGCTTCAGTAGCATGTCTATATTTCACTCTCTCCTCTGAAATACATTTAATTTGGCTCCAACACTGCCCACAAGCTCTCATTTCTTCTTCATCCAATCCCCTCCATGTCACCCTCCACTCACACGCCAAACTCGTCGTTTCCTATTTGGATTCCACTCGAGGGCCTGGCCTGGCCCGGCGCGTGATGTCTCCAAATGGTTTTCTCAGTGTATGCCCACTTCAATCCATCTCCACTTTCTTCTTCTGCATATTTGTTGGGTGATGGGTTCTGGGTCGGTTCATTACCAGCCAGAGTTCCTTGTTGCTTATTCTCTCTGGCCATCTGATCTTCAGTATCGAGTGAGCTTAGGTGGCAGCCATTGACAAATGTCTGCAGTTTGTTGGAAGCGCTTATTTTGACGCGCCAAGTTTCTGAACCATATAGCAGCACTGACTAGACATTGGTGTTGAAAATCCGGATCTTGTTCTTTATGCTGAGTGCAGTGCGGCAGATCTCCACAGTAATTTCAAATTAATGAACGCCTGTCTTGCTGTACTTCCGATCCTGGCTGCTTTCA